TCCTGGGACCCACAGGGGGCCACCCGTTTGGCAACGTGGAAACAAAGGCCTCAGAAAACAAAACTTAACTCTGAGTCAGGGTGACTAAGACTGGTGATTTCTATTTTATTCTACCAAACTTCATTCTTAAGATATGCTCACTAGTTGTGCTCAACTTACTAGTTGAAATCCACTGATTTCACAACTATCCAAATGGACCATGACCTAGGGACTGAAAAAACTGACCTGAGTGTTCCACATATATATACTTTTTCAAGTTTATTTATTTTGAGAGAGAGAGAGAGCCATGGGAGGGGCAGAGAGAGAGGGAAAGAGAGAGAGTGAGAATCCCAAGCAGGCTCTACACTGTCACAGTGCAGAGACTGATGTGGGGATTGAACTCACAAACTGTGAGATCGTGACCTGTGCTGAACTCAAGAGCCACCCAGCACCCCTACATATATTTTCTAATTTACTCGCCACAACCCCAAGGGGCAGGAGATGGTATCTAATTTTCACGTTATAGCTGAGAAAGCAGAGGCTCGGCAAACGCCCAAGATCACAGGGGTGGATACGAGGTCTGAACTACAGCACATCACAACCCAAAGCCCGTGGCACTTCATCACCGCCGGGTTCTCCTAAGTCTCCCCTGCACAAAGTCTGCACAGTGCCGTAAAAAGTGGGCTTGCTCCGGCAGCATCATTAACTGCCTCCCCTGACTGGCTCTCCACACGACCTGGATGCCAATACATCCTGGATGCTAAGTCACACCATCTGGTTGCTCAAGAGAAGGAGAGTCTGCAAGGAGAGACTATATTACATGTACTCACACCTTCTGATCATTGGGTGCATCATTAGCTAAGAAATGGTGGAGAGTAGGGGCGCCCGGGTGGCTCAGTCGGCTGAGCGTTCAACTTCGGCTCAGGTCATGATCTCGCGGTTCGTGGGCCCCACCCCGCGTTGGGCTCTGAGCCGTCAGTTCGGAGCCTGCAGCCTGCTTCGGATTCTGTGTCTCCCTCTCTCTCTGCCCCTCCCCCACTCTCACTCTGTCTCTGTCTTTCGAAAAATGAATAAACATTAAAAAAAATGAAAAAAGAAAAAAAGAAATGGTGTAGAGTCACAGAAATAGGAACTCAGCCAAATTATCCCAGACTCCTATTACAACTGGGATGGACCCGGATGGAGGCCCATTTGGGGGGACAGGGGGTCAATCTGAAATCTCCTTAATTTTGCACCGCATGGGAATCTGTGTTGAAAATGCATAAGTGTTGGGTCAAATGCAAAAGCCCAACCAGACTCTTGACACACCTGGCCCATCTCCCTGGGTCACAGGTAAGGGAACCAAGCCCCAGGCCGAGGTGAGGCCACACAACACCACTCTCCCAACTCAGGTACACCCTTCCCTGACCAGAGTCCTTGGCTCGGCACCTTTACGTCACAAAGCTCACTTGTGCTATCTTGTGGGACCCTCACCACGACCCTGAGAAAGCATGTATGTTTATATATATACCCAATACAGTCCCAGTGATTCACAGGAAACGCTGTCAATATCCTGGTGGGAATACAGAAGGCTTCCCCTTGGCGTGTGCTGCCTCTCTGCCTGCCTCTCTCGTGGCCAAAGCCTACTCATCAAGCTTGGAACCCCTCCTCCGGGCAGCCCTCTACCTCGGCCGGGACCTCTCTGGGGCGGAGTGGGAGGAGGAGAGCGCTCTGTGTTCACCTCACTTCCCTCCCTCATTGCCCTACCGCCATTACTGTCCCCTTGCTTGTCCTCCCGTGCAACAAAGAGCACCTTGAAGACAGACCCCGGGTCTCACTCACATCCGAAGCCCCAACGCCCGGCACGTAGACTGTGGCGCCTCTGACCTGTGTCACGAGCTTCAGAGCAGCAGTAGCACATTTACCTTCAAAAGTGTCTCAGATGGGGGCTCCCATGAGGCTTAGTTGGTCAAGCATCTGGCTCTTGACTTCAGCTCAGGTCATCGTCTCACGGTTCGTGGGATCGAGCCCCGTGTCTGGCTCTGTGCTGACAGCGTGGAGCCTGCTTGGCATTCTCTCTCTCCCTTCTCTCTCTGCCCCACCCCTGCTCGCACACTCTCTCTCTAAACAAATAAACATTTTTTAAAAAGTGTCTCAAATGGAAGAACTGCAAATATTGGGGGGGAGGGAATGAGATCAAACATCAACAACGTCTAAGAAAACACGAGTGTTCATGAGAATCACGAGAACACCCTGTTTTTATAAGGTCAACAGAGCCACACTCCCTTACTCCCGCTCCTCTCTTGCAGTAACGTTCAGGGACGTTTCATTGTTGTGGCACAAGACACAGCACGGACAGTGTCAACACAGCCCCCGCTCTGATGGGACAAAGTGTACCCCCACCACGTTCCTTCCAACGGTGTGCAAGTGTCCCAGGGGCCCCTCAGAAGGACGTGGCTGCCGTTCATGACCCACCATGCAGTGTGGGCTAGTGACAGGAGCGTGGCTCACAGATAAGCACGCAGGCCTGAGCTCCGCCCACCCTGACGGCCAGCGTGATGGGGGGCAAGCTACCGAACGACCCCGCAGAGAGGGCTCCTGATCCGCCCCGGGGAGGAAATAATCCCACCCCCCGGAAGAGGTGTGAGAGTAAAGATTCGAGGGTCCAGACCACAGGACGAAAACAGAAACCGTTCCTTCCCTTCCCCAGCACCCACTTCCCCAGCTGCCTCAGGTGTCCACAGTAGAGAGAGAAGCCTCTCAGAAGGAAGAGTCGCAACCACAGGGAGTTGGAAAGAGAAGCTTCTCTAAGTGCAGGATTATCAAGATAAAGGAAAGCACGTGAAATTGGGGCTTAAGATCTTAGGACGTGTTCCCGGCATGGCCCTGCTGACCCTGAGTACCAGCATCCAGAGGCAAGAAAAGCCTGGGCTGGACCTGGGTCCCTGTGACACACGCGACAGGCAAGGTAAATGGGCACAGGATAAACAGGCGGCCGCACACACTGCCGAGCTCTTTCCCAGCCTCCTCCTCGGGGTCGACCTTCAGCCTCCATTTCAAAGTCTCTCAGGGCAGAACAACAAGACCCAACGTGATAATTACAATAAGTAATAGCAATTGTTAACAGTCAACGGCACGTGGTGCCTACTCCACGTCAGGCATTGTTCTAAAACGTCTACGCATGTTCTCTCACTTCACCTTCCCCTGAGGATGGGTAAACCGAGGCATGGGGCAGTTACATGACTCATCCTGAAGTCGGATGCATGGTAAATGGGGGAGCCAGAGTTTAAAACACACGGTCTGGTTCCTGGTCTTCACTGCTACCCTCCAAGGCTGCCCCCAGCACCCTGTCCTCGCGTCGCCCTCACTCAGCTCCTGGCTTCATGTGCGTTTCTAGCAAAGTCATAGCCATGATTTCTGCCACCCTGGTTTTCTCCACCCTAAGATGGTACAGGAATCAACACCAATCTGACAGCTATTCTGGGAGGAAACAGAAGGGCGTGCCTTCATGCCCTATCCAGAAAGAGGGACAGAGAACATGTGCCAAGAGGTCCCAGGTCACATGTAGTAGCGAGCACACAGTCAACAGCACAATCACTGCTCCAGGTTCTTGCTCCAGAACTTTCCATGTTATCCTCCCAGTAACCCTAGGAGATCTATATACATACACAAACACATGCGTACATCTGTGTTCTGCATTTGCAGGCGTGTGTAATACACACACGTATATGCGTGCGTACGTGTGAGTTTAACACGTGCAGTCTGTGCACGTACGTGTATACACGCGTGTGCGTGTGTGTGTATAAAATGGACATACACTGGGGCGCCCGGGTGGCTCAGTCGGTTAAGCATCCGACTTCAGCTCAGGTCATGATCTCGCGGTTCGTGAGTTCAAGCCCCGCGTCGGGCTCTGTGCTGACAGCTCGGAGCCTGGAGCCTGCTTCGGCTTCTGTGTGTCTCTCTCTCTCTCTCTCTCTCTGCCCCTCCCCACCTCGCACTCTGTCCCTCTCTGTCTCTCAAAAATGGATGAACGTTAAAAAAATTATTTTTTAAATGGACATATACTTTTTCATAGGTATTTTATACAGAAAGGCTACCAAATCTCAGAAAGGACAAGTGACTTGTCCCAATACCCACAGCCAGTGTGAGTGCTGGAGACAGTATCGGAACCCAGGCATCTAACCCTAAAGCATGACCCACCCACTATACCTACAGCACCCTGACTTCACCCTTAGTGACCAACTGCTATAGCATGGGTGATCTTTGTGCCCGAACAGAATGGAAGCAGGCCCAGCTTCTGAAGGCTCCTTCTGAGCCAAGCCGTCTGTGATATAAAAAGGAAAGCCATTAACGCGGAACCACGCCTGGGGCCAGCTGTGCCTCCTTTATCACGTGAACAAGGCTCAAACCACACTCGGGTGTCAGCCCCTTGAGTTACATGAGAATTTGCAAAACTAAACAGTCATTCATTGTGTTACTTTCCACCGAAGAATTAAACACACTTCACCATTATGAATATGGACAGCATCTTGGCTTAAATGATCGCCTTTCTGTTTTTAAATAAGAGCGCTTCACAGACAATCCCTCACAGAGAGTCGACAACAAGTAACACAAGAGGACACCAGCGTCATCGACATTTACTGCGCTCTCCCCGTGAACCAGACACTGCCCCCCGCCCCACGGGCACCACGGCATGTAACCTCTCAGCGGCCAGGGGCAGCCCTTCCTACTGCCACTCCTGCTGCTGATGATTCTTTACGATGTCCCTTAAGAAAGCCTTGCTTTAGTTCCACGCTGTAGCTCTTCCTTCTGGAGATTTTCTCTGATGCTGAACAGTGGGCCCAGAAAGCAAATCTGTTCCGCCTCATCATTTTGCAACGTATCTGAGACTCTGCCTGTGAAGGGGGTCCCAGGGTGAAGCCTCCTGGGAAGGACGCTCGCGTGCAGGGCTCACGGGGAAGCAGGGCACCTTCCCGTGCGCACAAAGGTTAGAAAGCAGGGGCAGCGGGGGCAGACAAGCTGCTGCCCGGGCTACTACTTACCAGTTCCGTGTGAACTTTAAGATGTGCCTGCAGCTTGTATTTATCTGGAGTTGAGTAGTTGCAGCCATCGGTGGGACACTTCAGCAGGACGTTACTGTGTTTCTGAATAACGTGACGTTTAAGGCAGTTTTTGGTGATGGAGGAATAATGGCACTGGGAGCAGTGATACAGGTGCTCCCGGGTGTGGGTGCGCACGTGCATGTCAAAGTGCACTTGGTACCAAAAAAGTTTGCCTAAAAAAATATCGTCACGTGAGAACAAGGAAGTTTCTTTCAGACTGAATTTGATTTTCTCATTATTATTTTTTTACTACTATATTTGTCTCCCTCTCCGGCTTGTCCGGGTCACCCTTCACGCTTTCCTCACTTCTGCCTGGAAATTGCTTTTTAGAGGCGGGGGGCTGTAAACTTTAAGGGTGCTACACTGTTTGCGTGACATCAGAGCTAGGACAGGAGGAAACAAATGTTTCCTGAGGACCAATTACAGCACCAGATGCTGCTGTGCACTTGCCTAAATCAGGGCCTCCGACCCCTGCCGACACCTGGGCCAGAGGTGGGCTCTCCCACCACCCGCGCTGCCAGCTCTCGGGGAGCCTCAGGGGCCGTGCCTGCACGGACAGCTGCGAGGGCTCCAATCGGGGCTCTCTACAAGGAGCTGCAGAGAGAACAGGGCCACGACTCAAGCTACACTTTGAACTTGTCACGTGCCAGAAGAACCATTCTTCTTGGTTCAAGTTCCGGCAGCAGCCGTGAGAGAGACCGTGTGCCTGCCCCAGCTAGCACTGCTACCTGCCCCGCCATCCTGGCCACCTCCACAAATACGCCACATGCTACACTGTGACACAGGTGGCCGCCTCCTACTGTCTACAAATGATGAAGGACAGCTCGTTGACGAGTGGTTCTTTGCAAAGAGACACGAGCTCAAACCAAACACGAGGTGACCCAAAGCAGGCTGGGGACGGGCGGGGCTGTAGGGAACGAGCGCTCAGCCGGCTGCTTGCCCAGCGCCGCCCTCCTTACCGCAGTATTCACACTCCAGGTCCCCGTACACCTTCCGGATCCTCTCGCACAAGCCGGTGTTCATCCTTCTCTTCTGTAAGCCATCCAGGATCTTCATGAACGCACTGATGCCGGCCCGGTGCTCGGAGGCCGGACTGCAAGAGTCAGGCTGCGGCGGGGCCACATCCCCTCCACCTGCTACCAGAGGAAGGTCCGAGGCCTCGCCTGGGTTTGACCTGAGACACCTACTAGGATCTGGTCCCTCGGACGGGACGGCAGCCATTTTCTGCCCTGCCTCTGGGGGGCTCTCGGCCCCCCGCGCGTCCAGGTTCGCTCCCGCACTTCCGGCCTTGGATGGCAGTGACGGGACTTCTTCACCCTGAGTCTGGGAGGAGGCTCCGCGCCGGGCGTCCAAGGTCTCCTCGGGGACGGTGCGAGCCTCAGCAGGGGAGGGATCATTTTTCAGTAAAAACTCCTCGGAGACCACCGCCTGCGGAGGAAGGTCCGAGGCGTCCGCGGCGGCTTCCAGCCCGCAGGGTGGCAGGGCGGCCCCCTGGGCCTGGGGGGCGGCCAAGTGCGCGGGCGGGGCGGGCTCCTGCGCGGCAGC